TAAACAGTGATAATTCACTGATTATTACCGTTTCCTCTTTGAACTCTCGGCGCATGCGTATCTCAATAATTTTTGTGGCAGTAGCTTCCTCTATAGATCATGTCAACGAACGTGTTATTGGTTGTTTTACCTTAACTTAGTGCGATTTCTAAGCCAAGGCCACAAGGCTTTTCTTACAACAACGTTTACTCTCGTCCGTCGGGGAAAGTGGCGTGACTTTGGTCGTTCTGTGATTCACCGCGGCTCTATCTGTCAAGGACCTCGGAAACCCTAGCAACAATTGCATTGTTCTGATTGGCCGTTTGATCCGTCCTACTATTGTGAGCATGTGGATTTCCAAGATCTAACTGGAGCTGGCAGACCCATAATTTTTGTAAACAATTAGGCGGATGGGCTCGGGCCTATGGCATACTACTCAAGCTTACTGATTTTATCACTTAAAGATTTATAAAGTTTAGGTTGCTTAGTTACCAAGTGTTAATGGTGGTCTCACCTCTACCGGCGACAACATGAACTTGCGTTTAAGACCAACGATTTTTCAAACAGGTCCGGTATTTTGCATCTAAATAAATGAAATATAGTTAGATCCTTAATTGGCGAAAAAAAAAAAAGGCCAAGATTTTCTTAGGTCGATAAACGTGAGTAAACTACTATTATTCAGGCCTCTCAGGAATGGTTTATCGTCCACACTAACGTTGTTAAGGTTTATCTTTCCTGGTCTGTATGTCAGTGGTGAAGCAGATGGAATCTTTTCAAATCTTGGATAAGGTTAAAAAAAACCTCAGTAACACTTAGCGATTGTGAAAACATTTTATGAAGTTGTATGAATAATGTAGGTATTTTTTTTTAGAAGCTGTACTGTAATAAATTAATTGAAACAATAAGGGACTTGCTGATGCTTTTATACCTTACTTCAACTGAAAGAAACCAAAACGTACAGTAAATAAGTGGCTAGTTAATTTTTGTTGGTTTAACTTGTAATAAAATATCTTTTTTTAAAAAACTGCAATTTAGCTAAAGTAACAGAAGTGATTTCCCTTAACTTCTGTCACTTCTTATATTACTTGATAATACTAAAATTTTTACCTAGCAGTGACATAACTGGTTTTCCCCTCTTTTTTTTTTTATGATAGACCCAGGCCTTGTTTGCCGAAACTTTCCTCCAGAACAACAGGCTTGATCATGTGACTCAGTTGATGGGTTACCATCCCCAGTATCTGGACCCATTTCTTCGTACACAGAACTATATTCTAAAGGGTGATGGGCCGTTACCATTTGACTACAGGCATTACATCGCCATCATGGTATGATATGTACTTAATAACATATACATCATTATAAATAATTTGATATTAGTTTCCAAAGAGTCACGAATTCGTCGTGTGATTAGTATTCTTTAGTGTAGGTCTCTAGGCTGATCAAATCTTTTTTGTTAGTCTGAAACTTAATTTGTTAAATTTACGTTCTTTAATTACATTAAGTGTTGTATACCGTGAAAACATTATCTTTGTGTAAGTCATTCCCTAGTTTTAGCTTTTAATACTGTATATTCTCTGCACACTGATTTATCTTGTGGAATAATAACCGGTATAAAAACAGTTCTATTTATGTTAAAATTTTAAGATAGGCTAATATATCATTTGAAATTGTGAGAAAAAACTTGACACAAACTGACAAAAACCACGTTTTTTACTTCAAGAGTAATATTCCAATACAATGTAGTCTATAGAAGAAGGGTTAAATCTCCAAAACACAGTGACTTGGGAATGTTCGAACTTTTAAGTAGACTGAATAACCATTTCTGGTGTTTATTGGAAAAATACTTTTTCTTTTTATATCGGGGGGGGGGGATTTATTTTCTAGAAATTAAAATGGGAAGCCCCACTCGTTTTGTATCAGGGTTTGCAGTCAATACCGGTACCACATGTCCCATCTTCATAGTTTTGCCCTTTGGTATTTCAGCTTCGTTATTCACAGAATTATAAGTGTTTGATGTGGTAATTTTGAGTTCGTACTTCAGTCAATAAGCGAATCTCACCGGGATAATCGGCAACAGCTTGAAATATGGGGACTCCAACGTTTTGGAAGAGATCGTGGCTACGTGACTGATTGCACGTTAGGTAGTTGCGTGCGTGATTAACCCTTAGTATACGGGCAGATCAAACTGCGCATGTCACGACGTATTAGCGAGTTGCATTCAAAATTTAATTAAACTACTTTATTATCATGGTATACGAACAAACTTGACATCAAACCATAGATGATAAATCAAATTTTAATATTATGTAAGTTTTAAGTTTTTAATTGTTTAAAGAAATATTTAAAAACAACCTCAAATTTCCCTAGTATGAGAATTTTGATATTTGTTCTTGAGCTCTATCCTTTTTTGTCATCGATATTCGGAAGCTATATTTTTATATTCTCTATCCTTGTGGGGCTGAAAAGCAATCAATGAAAATTCAGAAACCATTTTCCATGCCTAACTCTGACATGCTCTAATTTACAATTTGTTAATAGATTTTTGTGAAGCCGACTCCCATTAAATTTATAACCAATAGAAAGCTTAAATTTCAACTGATTCATTGTCATAGTCGTTATGACGACGTGGGCTTACAGATAATTGACAATTTGGTTTGATACTAATAAAAAAAATTTTTTCCACCAGATCACTCTGGGAAGAATAGTTGAATTTCTAACTACCCAAGTCACATAATTTGAGATGCTCGAGTAGTACCGGTAACCTGGTGCTATTGCAAACCCTGTCTTCTGTAGACTTTGCAAGACTTCATGGGTAAATTTTTAACTTTTTTTTCAGGCCTCAGCAAGGCATCGTTGTACATATTTAGTAAAACTACAAATTCAAGAGTTCCTGAGGCAGGAAGGAAACAAAGAATGGCTGAACGGTTTGCATCAAGTCCCTCAGAAACTACGTGATCTCGACGAGCTTAATAAGATACTTGCCCACCAACCCTGGCTTTTCAACAAGTCTCACATAGAGGTTTGTAATACCATCTTAAATTCACAGTTGAATATTGTTACAGTCTTGTGGGGGTAATATTATTAGATAGTTGATGTTAGAGCTGTGTGATTAGGGAAATTTGATAATGAATTAATCGCTGGGCTCATTAATAGATTACATTCAATTAATCGAGCAGTCGCCTGTAGGACTTGGATAGATTGAAACTTTGTTTAATTGGTTTATTTTTGAGTTGTGACAATAGTTGATATAACCGGTGCCTGTGGTTAAAAGTTAACCACCAGGCTTTATGCATTATTACAGTGCCTTTATCCAGTGTGCTTCGTACATATATAAATTTATTTATGTAAGAAATATCTAATGTTATGTTTAAATGCTTATCAGATCGGTTTATGTAATCATCGTGGTTAAATAGGCTTTAGTTGATTGAAGTGAAAAATATTGGTTTATTGTGTGTTTATAAAATATCTATTTGGTGCTCAGAAGCTGACCAAAGGGAAGGACAATTGGTCATTATCTGAGGTCATCCATGCCATTATTCTTCTCGCCCACTTTCACTGTCTCTCAACCTTTGTCTTTGGATGTGGTATCAACCCCGAAATTGACTTAAATGAGGGGCACACTTTTCAACATGTTACAGTTCCTTGTAATACCCAAGCCATTAATGACTGTGATAGTACTCAGGTAGGTTCAATTTTCCGTACTATAACCTTGTCATTAAGTATTACTGGTTAGGTTCAGTTTCTTTTAAATGATTGTAATAGGTCTCTACAATAATCTCAACTGAAAAATTGCTACTTTTGGTGTCTGTTTTTATTTTTTCTAGGGATTGTCTCATTTTTATAAGCATGTAATAAATATAACTAGCCATATACATGCTCCTTATTTTTATTGTAGAAAGTGTTCTGGTAATGAGGCATATATGTAATTTTAAAACTTTCACATTCTGTTAAGACACTCCAACTTTTTTTATATAAAGCTTTATTAAAAGTGCCCCTTTAAGCCTGAAATAATGAATTAATCTTAGAATTACTAATGGGGGAACAAACCACCACCCCCAGCCAGGTTTGTATAGTTATTTCCACTTATTACTGTGAGTTTTTTTTTTCTTGGTCAGTTCTTTACACTAAAGTGTTGCGACAGGTTGAA